TTTCTTTCAGAAAAGCTACACAGACTGAGAAACGAAGAGAGCCTTCATTTCAAAACAACTCGAAAGTCCTTGAGGGGTTTGGGATAGAAAGTTCTGCATTGCTCAAAACGAAGGCGCGTGTGTCTGCTTACCTGAGATGGAGGGATAAGCCACATTTCTATTACAGGTCTAATTGTAACTCTTTGCTATGGCCAGATAGATGTTAAAAATAAAACCTTTGGAGTCGAACCACCCCCCCGAAGAACCAAGAAAAGCTCCATAAATTAAGGTATACCCTGTACGCGGTCGGGGTCTTCCCGCTGAGTTGCCGAGTCTTGAAGTCTTTCGCTCCTAGCCTCAAAGTTTAGTGCAGGTATCTTTTCATTGACAGCATCTTCGTCTGGAGCAGGAACGGTCTTCAAACTTCCTATTGCTCCCAGATGTTCCAAAACGCCTTCTTCAGTCTGAGCAGCTGCCTCCAGGTCTCCTACCGGCTTCTCCACGTTTTCTTTCTCCAGCTGGGGAGAAGCCACCCTCCGTTTTGGTCCTGGCTCTTGTTTTTCCACGCTCTCCCCTCTGGCCTCAGAAAGGGCTGCCTGTGCCTGTTTTTCTGCCCCCGAGTCTTCAGCCATTCGAGATGGCCCTGGGCTCAGCTGTGCAGCCACGCTCGGCCCTGCGTGGTCAGGTAAGTCTTGCTTCAGCTCAGCTGGTGCTTGGCTTTCTCCATCTATTTCATGTGATCTGAAGACGCTCTGTGGTTGCTTTTCTTTGACGCGTTGCTTCTGAGCACCTTCGTTCATTTCTGCTTGGGGCCTTGTCTTCATCTTTGCCTGGTAGGGCTTCTTTGAGTCTGTTGGCGTTGGGGACCAGGCTGCTGTCATCTCCCTGGGAGCCCTGCCTTTAGAGGAAGCCTCTGATTCTGAAAAGCTCCCACGACCTTTGCTCCCAGCCCATGGGCCAACTTCTGAGACATGTTCTTCTTCTTCCTCGGAATCCGAATCAGAAGAACTGGACGAAGATGAGGATGAATCCTGTCCCACTTCCCTGCTTCCCCAGTGCCTGTCTAAGTCAGAACCCTGCTTTCGGAAAGAAGAGGCAGCTTTCTGAGGAAACTCTACCAAGGTCTTCCTCGCCAGAACTCTCGGGGCCCCTTCATCTGTGACCAGCACGATGTCATCAGGGTCAGGATTAGCTACCATCCCGCCTTTATTCGCAACTGCCGGGTGAGAACTGGGCGGAGAGAACTTAGACAGTCCAGCCGCTCGGTGGGAGGTTAGCAGCTTGCCCCTCGCTTTTGGTTCCACTACATCTAGGAAATGGCACAGAGAGGAACGTTATTTTTCATATTTAATAAAACAAGCTCAATGCATCATCAATCACAATCACAGACAATTCACTGTACATCCCTTGCTACGCAAATGCCTCAGAAACCTTTCCCAGAAACGTACGCCTATGTGAAAGGCAGCCCACCTGAGAGAGGACAGTGAGGAACGGAGGCAATTCTCTTTGTAGCTGAACATCGGATGATGGGGTTTTACCAACAGGAACGCTGATGATTATTTTTAAACTACTATTTCACTAAAAGGTAAGACAAACTATGACATAAAGCTATTTTCAGATGAGCATGTAATTTTACTATATTAATCCTACACACACACACACCCGGTGCACTTCAAATACTAAGAAAGTTACTCACGTGAACCAAACAACAAGACAGTAAGTTGAGTCATCTGTGTGGGTGTGGGGTGGGTCCCTACGGGTGGGCTAGGGTCAGGTTGGTGGGGAGGGGTATAAAGTCGTTAAGGTGAGGGGCCCTAGGAAGGAAGCAAAGTCCTTCAAAACCACGTATGTCATCTGAGGATTTCTTTAGTCAGGAAAAGCAAAAATATTACATTAGAAAGCTGCCAATCGCTTCTCGGCCTTTTGGCTATGATCAAGTGTAGAAAGCTGCCCTGGAATCTGCACTGCAACTTCCTCCTAGCAGGTGCTGCTGCGGGTGGAGCTCAGAACTCACACGCACAGAGCCATCTGAGCTGCAGCATCACGGTGCCATAACAGGATAAATTCTTCTAGAATCTGTTGTGAGTTACAAGTTTTAAAGGCGCTATTAGAACAGTATTACAGGTTGACTACTTACATCACCTATTGAAAAGAAAATTTCTAAGGGGATTAAAATGTACATAATTTAGATGTTAGGTTTGAAAAGAAAACAAAATAAGAATGCTCTTTCTTTTAGTCATGTTACATTATTAGGAGAAGTCACTGGAAAGGCTGAGACTAAACTGTAGTAATGTGATTTGCTGTTTACGGTTTGCCAGCTTTTGACCCCTGTACAGGCAAAGAAGTCCTGGTGGTGCTGTGGCTTAAGCACCCTGCCATTAACAGAGAAGCCAGTGATTAGAACCTACCAGCCACTCTACTCCATGGGAGAGAGATGTGGCAGTGTGGGTCCCTAAAGATTTACAGACCTGGGAAGCCTATGGGCTGTTTAACTGTGGGAAACCCTACTCTGTCCTGGAGTTGCTGAGCTGGAATTGACTGAAGGCACCAGGCTTGTTTGGGCAGTGCAGGCCCAGCCTCCATCTTCTGACTTGGGACGGAAGCTCGCCATGGCGATCAGTCACAGCCACAAGTAGCCGCTGAACCAGAGGCCAGCATCCACACCAAGTGTGGGTGAACAGTCCTGGGCAGGAATGTTTTCCTACAAAGGAAATGACTCACAACACGGTGTGTACATTTTCGTTAAGGTATCTGCCTAGGCATGTATCTGAAGGATGCCAAAATATTCCAACTCCTCACTTACAGGGAGGGTTAGGTTCTAAGACCAGACTGTACGTGGAAAGCAGCTTTCTGTAACAACAGAGGGCAACGACATTGGATACAAAAGTAGAATGGCTACATGATTACCCAACTGCCAAATCTCATCATGACACAACTGCCCAGCCACACACACGGACGCACAGCCTTCACCACGATGGCCGTCACTCTGAACGGCCCCTCGGCATTCTTCACAGCCAGACATACGTCATTACTGTGTGCAACTGTCTAGCGGGTTTTTAACTATCATCCCACACGTGAGGTGTAGGATAACCAGGTAAAAGGTAAGGAGTCGGTGCACACTCACGGTGCCTCGGTTCATGGCGAATTTCCCTGAATGACAACTATCGTGAAACACAACACTACTTAAAGACTAGTCGGAGCAGCATCGCTCAGTGTAAGACGGGCATTGCTATTCGCTCTGAGAACATAATAGCCTATGTAAGATTCTCAGCTCACGCCCGTGGACTGGATTCCCAACTCGTAGCAACCCTACCGGGCAGAGTAAAAGTGCCCCAGCGGTTCCCACGGCTGTCACTTTCACGGAAGCAGACCGCCACACCTTTCTCCCACAGACCGCCACACCTTTCTCTAGTGGGTCTGGAGTGCCAGCCCTCTGAATGGCAGGCAGGGGGCTACAAATCCAGTCGACAGCACACAGAGAGGGAAGCTCTGCAATGCTTCTTCATCTCTTCTCAAAACGACTGGCATTTCCTAAATCCATTTTTCTGCTCAGAAGAGAGGGCATGACCATATTTTTAACAGTCCTCCTAGCAAAAGCAAAATGACTACAAGGTTTGAAGTGGATTAATAACCTTAAAATATTTCCATATATTTTTAATAGGCAATAAAAACTGTATGTCAGAAACAAGGATTATTAAAGGTAAAATGAAAAATATAGCTATTTAAAAGTGTTCATTCAAAACTTCTCTTACAAGTATATGGCAGTACGTTTGTGTTTTTACTTTTTAAATGACCTGGTAAGAATCATTTTTCAGAGACCAGACAACATCGGGGTTGAAAACACGTGGACTCTGGGTTAAAACGCAGGCGCCAGCACCTACACTGTGTGGCCGTGGGGAGCACCCTGGCCTCCACTACGAAACAGGGACAACAGTCTCTACTCACACAGGGTAGTTTGAGGGCGGCCAAGTTGATACTCAGAAAGTGCTCAGAACAGTGCCTGGCATGCTTCCCTATAATTAAGTACCTCAGATCCCTGTTTGCAGCGACTCCTCACTTTTAAAACGGAAAGGAAGACTTGAAATAGATAATTAACTGGTTTCTTGATGAAATCTTTAAATAGCTACACACGAATTATTTAGTCAACGAAGTATTACTGAGGGCTGCAGAGCTGTGCCTGGAGACTGGATCCAGCAAACCCACAAAAGCCGAGAGTCAGACAGTTCTCCCAGAGGGTGCCCCGTGACAATGCCCACTTCTGATTCGGCCTCCTTTCCCCAGAAGGAGCATGTGCTCCCAAAAGCTGGCGTCCCAGCCCCAGAGAGGTATTCTAGAACTGTGGCTCCTGCCCCGGTACAGGCCCTTTAACCAGCACTTAGGAAACCACCCCTTCTATTCTTGGACAGGAACCGTCCCCTGGAGCACCCTAAGGGCACACACAGGTGAGGGGCATTCACCTGGCTATCAGAAGTAGAAACCCTTGCTAGTCCCATTAACTGTAGGGGGACATGAATGACAGTCCGTATCCACAGGAGTAGCGCTGTCTGCTTCTTTAAACAGATAGTTCTTCAGTGATGACATACAGAGATGCACTAGTGAGAATACAAACAGCACACATGCAGGGCTCTTCCCATCTCGAACGCATCTGGCCTAGCTGCATGCCTTCCCTATTTGGCTCCCTATACAGGAGCCCCGCCTCTGAGGCCCAACCACGTCCACTGGCACAACAGCCAGCTTCAAGCTCAGGGTTCTCCCCCAAAACTGCCATAGGATAAAGCTCCCACTGTCACTCAAATACATTGCCAAGGGCTAGGGGTGGTGGTGGTGGTGGTGGTGGTGGTGGTGGTGGTGGTGGTGTGTGTGTGTGTGTGTGTGTGTGTGTGTGTGTGTGTGTGTGTGTGTGTGTGTGTGTGAAAAATCTTTGACTCTACCATGATATTTTCTTCTTTTTTTTTTTTAATATGGAACGCTTCGTGAATTTGCGTGTCATCCTTGCACAGGGGCCATGCTAATCTTCTCTGTATCATTCCAATTTTAGTTTATGTGCTGCCGAAGCAAACACTCTGCTGTGTTATTTTCAAATGCACTTAATCCAAATTAAAAAACACAATCTCAAATATTAATCAAGTAACCAAAGGGATCTGCAATAAAGTGGGATTGCAGATATGATTAAAGTTCTTTAAGGGGACAATAATATAACAAAATTCCACACATCCCCCATTATAAGAATTACAGCACGTTGCAAGAATGTACTACATACAAATCTAGAATTTAACCTTTTCTTTGTAGACATTAAAAAAAATACAAAACATTTCAAGTATTATTTGGTATTAAGAAGTCAATGTTCATTTCTTTAAGGTAGGATAAGGAATTATGTTTGTGTTTTAAAGATCTATGCTCAAATATTAATGGATTAATGAAAAATAAAGAATACTGAAGGTAAAAACAATCTAGAATAGCCCAGACTTAAAGAACAATGCTGTCATATTGGGTGACTGGTGACTCAACAAGCAGAGGCCGCCAGGCTGGCTGGTGCCTCTGAGAGGGCATGGAAGGGCCAAGGGTCTGGGTCTCCCATCCACCGGCCTACAAGTGACCTAGGGAGGTGCTGTGTGCAGAGCAAGGTTCAAAACCCAAAGAGTTGAAGCACTTTCAAGCATTCATATGGAGAAAACATTTGATGCATATAAATCCAAACACAAAGTATCATTCTGAAACTCCATATGAAGATTAAGATTTATAAGAGATTGTATGCAATGAACTCGGATCAAGGCCAATTATTAATCACCTGCAGGGAGTACAGAATAAAATAATTCCCAGAAGAACATCGAAAATACAGTGTCCTGATAAGAGTTGTATGAGCCCCTAATAAAATGATTAAAAAAAAGTGTCCTGACTTCCCTTTAATGAGGGAATATTGTACCTTGGAATGGGGGGTGGGGTGGGAGAAACGGTGATAAAACTCAAAATGAGCATGGAAAGAACTGGAAACAGATCAGACATCATGCATCATCACAGTGAGTCAGAATGAAAAACGGCTGGCTCCTAACTCCCTCTCCACACACTCAACTTGGACTGTGACCAAGTAAAGGCTGGGAATCCACGGACAGAGGAATCTGAGACACTGGAAAAATGTAGAAACCAGGGGACTAGACGGTAGGTGGGGTTCACAGCTACCGCACATTCCCACAGGCTCTGTGTTAGCCTAGAGTCCCTTGGTAGTGCAATTAACATGTTCGGCTGCTAACGGAAAGGCTGGTAGTTTAAGTCCGAGAGATGGCTCAGGGAGCCTTGCAGTGTCGCAGGTTCAAACCCACCAACCAGCCTTGAGAGAGACGAGGCTGCCTGCTCCCGTGGAAATGCACTCTCTCTGAATCCCAAAGGCACAGTTCTACTCAAGAGGGTGAGTTTGGGCTTGTAGAGTTTGGAGGTGCTTCGGAAGAAGGTTGGAGTTCTGAAAAGCCAGCCCCTAGAAACCCCATGGGATGGTTCGGCTCGGATACACGTGGGCGCCACCATGGTGGGAACTGGTTTGGCTCTGATGAAATGCCAGAGTCTTTGCGCTCAGCACCTCTTACTCCAGGTTACAGCTGGAGGTGTAGAAAATACAGAAAGCCGCAGGTTCAGGGTTGACTGGAGTCATGGACTTGGCTATTTTTGGTGTGCTTGACCTAAAACCAATTACAGATCTGATGTCTAATTAGAATAAGTCATGTAGCTGGTAAGACTCCCCTCTAGGCTTGGGGGGCCAGCAAACTCATTGCCCCTGCATCCTTCTTTCTTGCTATTAACAGTAAGTCCTTACTTTTTGGTGGACTTTGCTTCTTGGGATTCGGTGGCAGTCCTTTTTCACTCTGTCCTGACTTCGTAGCCAGAGAAATGGTGGAAGCGAATCCTCGAAACACCCCTGCTTGGAGTCCGGTCTGGAAAATAAAAAAGACACACATATAGGCATTTTAGAGCAATACCGCCGATAATGGCAATCGCTATTGCTTTCCTTTTACATTTTTAAAATGGTTACTGTGACTTCTGTAAGACGTGTATTATGAAAATCTGAAAAAACATTTGCCTTCAAAGTCAATTGCTATTGAGTTGAATACTTTTCCAGACTTCTGCCCAAGAATCCTTTGTAATTATCTCCATGTATTAGTCTACAAATTCTGATTGTTGGTTGGTCGTTTTACAGCAGTTCTCAACCTGTGGGTCGCGACCCCCTTGCCGGAGGGGTGGGGTGTGTATGTCAAACAACCCTTTCACAGGGGTCGCCTAATACATCCCATCCCGCATATCAGATATTTATATTACAATTCATAACAGTAGCAAAATTATAGTGATGAAGTAGCAACAATAATTTTATGGTTGGGGGTCACCACAACATGAGGAACTATATTAAAGGATTGC